TTATTATTATATTATAGTTTTGTATTATTGTATTAATTATTGTAATTATTATATTAAATTATAGGCAATAGGCCCTACTGTTCCAACAATTTTTTTTCAAACATTTCTAGATCGCATAACATTGTGGTCATGTGCACTATATCCTTCTCCTTCATTAATAACAGCTTGCTCAAACGCTTAAAAAAATAAAAACCATTTCTAAATTAAAATAAATCTCGCCAAAAAAACTCTCACTCTTCACTCGTTTTTTTCTTCAAATATTTTATGATCTCTTATCAACTAACATCTATCAGATTTAATGACACGAGACATCTTCGTATCCGTACAGTCTGCTCGTCTTGCGTGTTTATTTTTTATTATTGATCGTGCGCCCGCATCTGCCGCTCACAGACGAACGCGTTTGAAGAACGCGCAAAAAATGCATGCTTCGCACTCCTATTTCAGTCGTAATCACATACATACCTTCAGTCCGTCGCGAAACACGTCGTCGCCCAGGAAATAGCTCATCATACGAACTATCGCCGCGCCCTGGAAAACAGCGGCGAGAAAGGTGCACGTGAAAAATACGCGTCATTGCGCATGCGCGTTGCTAGAGGCGCGGCAAGCTTCACTGTGTACGGCAGATTCTACTTACGAGATGTTTGTACGTGACCAACGTAATTTTGATGCGCGCAACTCCGGTAATCGTATCATGAAATGATTGCCTACCTGACACTGCTTACAACCCAAGACCCTATATAACCTATATCACCATAAAGACCCCTACAGACCCCCTCACCGCGATCGCATTGTCAGAAACATTCTAAGTAGTTTTGCGTGACATAATACAAAAAATACAAAATAATTACGAAGTGAGGTATATCGTGCAATAGGTACGAGATTTTATACTTATGATGGTCATAATTATTTATGATTTCATGATGTTTCTGAAATTCTGACAACGGACCCCAGTATATTAGAACACCCGACAACACACGCATCTGAAGGTTTAATTATAGTGTTGCTATTACATGGAAAGAACGATGGAATTTCGTTATGGATGTTTATAAAGTCGCGAGATAGGTACAGCGTCTTATTGACCCTACAGGCAAAACGTTGCGAATATTTGTATTAGATTCGAAAATTATTATTTATAAGCTGGGTGTGAAACTGAAAAAAATGGATGTAGGCCTCTATATCAAAAGATCCTCTTTTTTTTCAAATAGATCGTATTGCTCCATTATATATATATATATATATTAACCGTATTCAATAAAGTAGAAATTTAATATTCTAACTATACAGGTGAAATGCTGTTAGCCAGTTATTTGTATCTCTGCAGTGAGTTAAAAAAGAAACTTAGCAAATAAAGAAAACTCTTTCATCTTTCATCTTCACTCATCACCATTCTGTTCGTGTTTAACGTAAATGTACCTACAATTGATTTTCCGTCGCCAAGAAACGGGAGTACGGCGACTCACACGAACCGCTATAAATAATGCCTAGAGATTTGATTTGTCTATTTTAATTATTATTTGCAACGCGTGTGAAGTTTTTCAGTTTATAGTTATTTTTGCTTTTATCTAACGATCAATCATACTTAACTTACTTATGCTCTTGGTCCCCCGTTAGAACATAAAGCCGTAAACATTAATTAGAGATTAATCTTAGAGATTACATCTAATCGCTCACATTTATAAATGATAGTTGACGAATTAAGCTTATATATTAAGAAAACACATGCACATGTACATATGCACACATATGCTTACTTTTGAGTACGAAATGGCATCGAAGATTTCACCGATTTGCTCCGGGTTGTTGACCGTGGCGAAAATCGGGTGAGAGGTGGTCAGTGAGTCTGTGACCATTGCCCGAGGAAACTCTCTCTTGATTAGACGCTCATCCTACAATAAGAATGACGTCATCATTATCCATATGACGTCAAAGCGCTAACACACTGCGCAGGCGCTGTCGCAACGAAACTTTTCTGTACATGTTGTTTACAAATAAGATTGTGTTTAGAAAGTCGCTAGGCAATGTTAATAGCCACAGGCACTTAGAACGTCTCAATTAAAAAAAAAGAAGCAAATAAACACAAAATTTATTTACTACCAAGGTCTTAATGTTTCTCTACTCTATTTCGCCTATTATTGCCGATAATTACCCGTAAATGCCGGTCAAATGCTCATCTGCAACACACAAGTACACCGCACGCCCGCCCTGTGCACAAACAACATGAATAAGAGAGTTATGTTCGTATTCATGTTGTTTGTGCACAGGGCGGGCGTGCGGTGTTCTTGTGTGTTGCAGATGGGCATTTGACCGGCATTTACAGGTGATTATAGGCGAAATAGAGTAGAGAAACATTAAGACTTTGGTAGTAAATACATTTCGTGCTTATTTACCTTTTTTTATTGAGACGTTCCAAGTGCCTGTGGGTCAGTTAGTCTTCAAATTGCGCGCCAGCCGGGTGTCGGGGCACAAGTACTGGACCAAGGTAAATATATGTGTTGAAATAAGATTCCGTTGGTCATCGGTAAGGCTTCAAAATAACTACATCGCAAAAGTTCCACCGCGTGAGAATTCAGTACAACGCACTTTCATGGAAAACCCACTATAGAAATTATAATAAATAGTACATATAAATGTATAATATGTATATATATATATATAATAAAGATAATCTTAAAAATCAAAAGAGCGACATCGTCGTCGTTTTTCCGCTGCATTTCCCCCCGGCTATATTAAGCCCTACGTTGCGCTGCTGAACTGAATTCGCGTTTCTTTCACATTTACACCAGAGAATTTTCCGCTACTTGATGGCGGCTATAAAAAGATCGTCGGTGTCACGCGCACGTCTGGCAAGTCGTGACGTAAATAGCGAGGCCGGCATACGGGCACGTATACTCGCGTGTGCCCCCGTACTACCGTATATATGAGTAACGTGCATGGCTGCTGTAAAACTTGTAGTAAAAAAGCGTTACAAATTGTAACGGAAATCTACTTGTGGCAGTGGTGAATTGAGCGAGAGTGAGAGCGCCATCTGTCGTGGAGTTAGCGTCTAGCATTGCCAGCAGCCGTGATTTACCGCGTAGACAACGCAGTAAACATAGATTTTTGTCGGAAAATCTAGTTATCTACCGCTTAGTGTCATGATAGATTACGGTAAATTCAAGCGAAAGCTCGTAGTTATGCTGGGTATTAGGCTCGAATATGCGAGAATGAATTAAAACGAAAGAACGATTAAATGTATGAACAATAATTCCTTCCATCAGGTATAGCTTGTATATTTCCTAATTGTTTTTATTCGTTTAAATCGAATTGATGAATTCATTATTGAACATAGATTTCGGATACGCAGATACATATCGCGGCTTGTTTTCGCGGGGTCTTTTTCAGAGTGTAAACGATTGTAACGATATAACGTATACCTACAAGCAATCAAGAGTGTATGCTATAGAAGCAGGTCTAGATGTAGGTCGATTGCATGACATGTGTTTTTCGTGGGATGGGACAATTAAGTGGATTCTGACCTGCATACATTTTATTTTAAAGGGTCGTCTTGCGTTTTGACCACACATTCTTAATCTATTCCGGTGATTTGTGGTGAAAACATTTAATAAAACAATTTACAACCACCTGTAGTTTTCTTTTCTCACGTTCAAACTTTCAGTAAGTTTTAAGGAAGTTTTAAGGAGTAACTTTTAAGGAAGTTATGCCACCTTGAACCTGAGGCGAAATCACCGCGTTTTCTTACCATACTGCTCGAAGGATCGATGTTCTGTATGCCTAGCTGAGCTACGAATGAGGCAAAGCCTTCATTCAGCCAAAGGTCGTCCCACCACTTTGCCGTAACCAGATTCCCAAACCACTGCAAGTACAAATAAAATAAAATCACCATTTATAGTGCAATCATCGCGACATAACGCAAAAAATGTTATTTACTCGTGCCGCGAGTCGAATGAATGTAAGATAGAACAACGAACCCGGGCCATGAATTATTTATTTATTTTAATTTATTAATGATGCTAACCAAGTAACGCAGTTGTCTGTTAAAGCTATCACGCACGTAATTGGATCAACCGATGATTGGATTAGATTTTCCTGCTCGATTCTAATTAAAGCAGCTAGTGCGCTCGTGTAACGGGAGAAACAGCTGTTTGGAGTCCGTAAATAACAATCATAAATATAATATTCAAGGCAATTAAACTGTGTGTAAAAGTTCTCAAAATAAATGCTGATGCACCTTGCACTAAAGGTCAATCACTTGCGAAGTCGATCGCTTGTACCTACATATCGCATGCAATCTACATTTTAGTTTGCCTCAAATGACAGTAAACTAGTGACATACGTGTCAACATTCTGTATTGATATGACATATACGTAGCGGTTGAAGCGCGTATATAAGTGCCTCGCACGCATATATTACACTACATTTTAAAGTTAAAAGCCAGTTAGATAAATGGCTTTCTTATCCACACTTTCTGTTTGGCTTCACTAATATTTTAATATAATACGTACCACACTTTCAGTAAGTAATTCATTGGATTTCGCGAATGTTTAGACTTGGTTGCTACCGCGGTACCAGAGTATATAATGCGTAATTTGTTCTAATTACCAAACGAGCACTGCACGGAAGCAGACAAGATTAAACAGCTGTGGCGACGTAATCACTTTTGTACAGCATCACTTCTAACGCCGATGTCGGTAACCATGGGTAAATCATCTCAAAATCTTTTCGATAATCAATAATCGATAATCAATCATCGAAAATCTCTTTGGGAATATTCACTCCTGGTAAGTAGCAATATGATGCGGTGCATGACCTGTGGTATTATACAGGAGTAACGTAATACATCTGTTGTTGTTGATGATGTTGTTGATGTTGTTGATGTTTTTCGCTGTGCGCGTGTGAGAATGCGCGAAGCAGAGGGAGGATGGCAACCACGGTGCTAGAACACGAGCGTAAATAAACGCCAGCCCCTGTGAAGCCTAAGGAACGTTGGTACAGCTCCAAGAGATCTTCCTGCGTATATGTCAGCTGCGGAATCAACCCTCTCCATCTCCAGCCCAAGATAGGAATAACGGTGGAGACCAAAGGAGCTCAGGCTCGAAGCGGGAAGTTGAGAGCCATCACTGCCGGTGTGGGACTGCGTTTGGCCGGCGTTCACGGAATGCCGGTGACGCGAAACTAACGTTACTATTGATGTCGTATGACCGGGAGTGTATAATATGGATTATGCACGAGATAATCATAGATCATTACATATAGATCATACATAAATAATAACATAATCTATATTATACACTCCTGCCATGACGTATGTGTGCGTGCGCGTGTGAACACGTGCATACGTGCGTGCGTATATGCGTGTGTGCGTGCGTGCGCGTGTGAACACGTGCATACGTGCGTGCGTACATGCGTGTGTGCGTGCGTGCGCGTGTGAACACGTGCATACGTGCGTGCGTGTGTGCGTGCGCGTGTAAACACGTGTGTGCGTGTGTGCGTGCGTAAATGCGTCATGCGTGCGCGTAAAGCCACAAACCAATTACACAGGAACAGGGGTGTACGACGGCTGCGAAGGCGACCACACACACACACACACACACACACACACACACACACACACACACACACACACACACACACACACACACACACACACACACACACACACACACACACACACACTACACACACACACACACAC